CGTGGAGCCATGGAGCCATCAGCAGCCATCACAAACATGGGGTCTCGGAACTCCCCAACAGAGAAGGCAACGCACTCCTGGGGAAATTATGAGTATGAAATCTTTATGAACTAGATTTAATACATATTTTTGGATTAGATCCATAAACTTGAATTACATGTATTTAAAAAAACCCAACAAAGCATTGAAACCTGCAAAATCTCTGAAGATCTTTAACATGCAACAGCAGCAAAAAATTTAAGGGCATCTATTTTCAAAATGATTCCTTTTAAAAACATGTTTATTAGGTTTTTAAAATGCTGTAAAATTAGTTGCATGAGCAATAGGCTACTTTATCTCTTAAAAAAGTGAGAAAAAAAATATAACCAGTTTCTTAATCAATGGTATCAGTTGCAAGTTCTGAAAACATATTTTGTTGAAATTCAAATTCAAAATTAAAGTTTTTTTTCTCTCTCTTGTAATATATAGTACACTATAACAGCCTGTCAATGACATGCCTAATGTCTACAAAATATGAGAATAATAAACACATAAAATTTCAAAGACAGTTGGTTCTCACCTGAAGTTCCCTGAAGCCAATGGTCAGAAACTCTTGAGGGAGATTCCAGCCACCGCTGCTGAACCGGGTTCGGAGCTGGATGGCAGCGTGGCAGTAGCACAGGTTGTGCAGCATGGCGGGCCACTCAGGTCGATTGGACTGTTTCAAGATGTCTGGCTCCATCCAGGACAAGGTCCTGATCAAACTGTCCTTCATGGTCTTTGGGAGAGGACAAAGGGAGGGCTCATTATCTCAGATGTACTCAGCTTGCTTTTAATGTCGAAATAGTTTGCCTTTCATTAGAATGTATCTGTTCTTACAGTGTGTTTAATCTTTTCCTTTCCTGCACACATAAAATACCAAATAACTAGAAAGAATACACACATGAAAAGAAAAACGGCCATTTTTTTCTCCTACAGAGAAACACTCAATATAAACGGAATATTTCTAAGACTTTTCACAAAAGAACAAAACGATATACAAGTTATACAATTTAAACCTACAAAATGATGTCAAGCTTAACTCAAGGAAAGATTGCATGTTTAGGTACGTATGCAGAAAAAAACTGGTCCAAAATATTAAAGAGAATATATAAAGGGCCTTGTTACAAAATGTGCATATTAAATAAATGTAAGGTGCAGAAAAGGCTGAATATTTGATTAACATTCTGCAGGCTGTTGAAGGAAAAACTGAATTAGATCAGTACAGAACCAATGGAGGTCGTATATTTTTTGGTGATAAAACTTTTAGGAGCAGAAAAGATTGGAGATTCCCACAAACCATCTGAAGGGGAAAAGCTGAAGTTCAAACATCATAGACAACCCATTATATCACAGAGCACGTCATAATGCAACCTTGGAGAAATCTCAGTGAAAGGATGGAAACTTCCCTTCTCTTATGCATGTGCAAAATATTGTCACCCTTGTGATAGGATCGGCTAACCCTCAAAATACATTTAAAAGAATTTTCTTTTTCGCATCAACAGTAAAGTATCCATTTCATTTGATGAGTCAAAGACAGGTCTGAATCTGTACTAAATGTTAGAAATAAACTTGAAAAACCAGTCAGCTGCCAGGTTGCTGTGTGATGATACCGAATAAGTTTTTTGTTCCTCCTGTCAAATTAACTCAGCTGGGGTTTTCCAGTTTTCTTATCAAAAGGGCAGCAATGTGTACAAACTGAGGAGGTTCTTAACTTTTTTCATAAAGGGGAAAAACACCTTACCTTGGGAGAATCCACGTAGACCCTCAGTGAGTTCTGCAAGAGCCTGACGGGAATGCTGGTGGCATCGACGTGGGAGGAGATCCACAGGCGGAAGTTGGAGTCGCTCTGAGCCAGACCTTCATTCAGAATGGCTTCTGTGGCATTCAGGAGGTGATGGCTGTTGTGGGCGTTGTGCAGGAGCACCCACATGCCCTGGAGGAAAAGGCGTGAATGGAATTTGGTTAAGAAATATTGTCATTGTTGTTTACAGCAACAAGCAGATACATTTCTCAGGAGAAGAAGAATTGCATTTATATAGTGCTTATCCACACTCTATGCACTTTACAGAAAAAACTTCTGACGTTCAATAACTGCATCCCAAAAAGAAATTTTCATCACCCTATCTTTGATGGAATTAACTTAGCAAAAGAAATTAATAATCCTTACGGAGTTATTACATGTATTTTCCTTTCTTAAATCCAACATTTCTTATAAGCTCAAACCAAAAGGCCCCCATAATTTTTCTGCACATTAAACAAGACACACATCTCTTATTATCTCTTATACCCTGCTCTTATCATGTCTTACCTCTGCCATTCCCTTCAGAATCTGCTTTTTGACTGCTCTCTCATCACCCATGTTGTTGTCAGTGAGGAGGACGGTGATGACGCGTGTCTGTTTCTTGTTGGCAAAGTCCTGGAACATCTTGAACGTCTGCTCACTCTCATTGCGGAACAGGAGCATTATGGGAAGGGTCGGTGTGCTCTGTCGCAGTACGGTCGGAAGATCCAGGGAGATGTCAGAATTGTACCTGAGGGCAAGATAAAGAATTGATTTTAATGGAGAACTCTGCTTATAAGAGAGATAAATTCAACATTAATTTTTCAGTTCAGAAGTTTGAACAATGAAAAGAGGAAAACATATTCATAAAATCTCATGCAGTTCTTTCTCATACAGTCTTCCCCTTGACATTTTTTAAATGAATTCCGAACAAATGAAATTAGATAACAAAAAAAGTATGGTGGTCTGAAACTATTGTCTCCTCAATAAAATTTGGTGATAAATTGATTGTCTCCTCAACAAAATTTGGTGATAAATTGATTGTCTCCTCAACAAAATTTGGTGATAAATTGAAACAGTAAAATAAAGTAGAAAATCAGCGGGGTAATCTGATTTGACCCAAGCAAATAAAACAAACTTCAAAACATCACACACAGTCAATATTGCACACATGCTCCTTTTCCGGAATACTATTTGTCAAGCTTTGAAAGAGTGTAACCAAAAATAAACTCACAATCACAAAGTTTTAACACATTATCCTTTGAGTTCTAACACAAACAATCATCTAATAAGCTTTAACACAGATAGTCATCATCTAATACAGACAGTCATCTAAATTCTAATACAGACAACCACCATCTAACACTGAACGTCATCATCTAATGCAAACACTTATCCAAGCTCTAAAACAGAGAGATATATATCTAAGTTCTTACACGGACAGTCATCATCTAACACGAACAGTCATCATATAACACAGACAGTCATCATCATCTATCATCTAACACAGACAGTCAACATATAACACAGACAGTTATCATCATCTATCATCTAATACAGAAAGTTATCATCATCTATCATCTAATACAGACAGTTATCATCATCTATCATCTAACACAGACAGTTATCATCATCTATCATCTAACACAGACAGTTATCACTATCTGTCATCTAACACAGACAGTCATCATCTAACACAGACAGTTATCATCATCTATCATCTAACACAGACAGTCAACATCTAATACAGACAGTCATCATCTAACATGGACAGTCATCATCATCTATCATCTAACACAACAATCATCAAAGTTCTAACACAGAAACAGCCATTGTCTAACACTGACTTCTTTCCAAGGATGTTGCTGATGAAGTTGGAACTGCTGTGGAGTAGCCGATCACTGCGCACAGCCCGGACAATACACAGACGTTGCATGCCCTTGTATACATCGTCCATTTTGTCCGGCAAGGGAACTGACTCTGGCAGTTCACTCTCGCAAAGGTTGCGCCACTGCGTCTCACGCCCGTCTTTGGGCATTCGGTCAAACATGTCTTTGAACCACTCGAAATGTGAAGCCAGCACCTGGAAATCAAGTTATGTACCGTACATTACACCCATTCATAACTTGGAACTGTGAAAGTCTTGTGGGGAATGAAAACAGAAGCAATTAAATAATTTCTGTCAAAGAAAGAAGTGCAAAGGGTGGAGTCTAGCTATTTTAAGGACAGAAATCAGGAAGAAAACAAACGGCACAAAACTATCCAATGTTGCTTCCAAAAACACATCTGTAAGATTGTTTTCTCACTACAGACAAAGCCATTCCCACGTAGAATTTTTCTACTTCTCTTGAGAAATATTATCCTCTGTGGATGCATTGGTCATCGTTAGACATTGACAGATGAGCTATTATTATTATTAAGATTTTGACTTCTTCCAATGAACTTTCAAAAAGTGTTAAATATGTTTGACAAAACAGAATCCTCACAAACTCTTCACACACAAACAATAGTAAAGAAATGAATGAATGTACTCTTTATTTTATCCATTATATTTTAAGCATTTTAAAAGGTTTTTCATTAAAGCACAGATAAAGTACAAAGCATTTGGATATACATACAGAATTCTTAAAATAAACTTTTCTATCACACAGCTATAAGACCAAGAAAGGAACGGATAGAATTTAATGTACAGCAGCATCTATGATGTATGTAACTATAATAGTTGTAAAGCAAACAGAGCATGCTGTTAAGTGTGAACATGTGCTGTATAGATGCAACTCTTCTTCTTCTTCTTCTTCTTCTTCTTCTTCTTCTTCTTCTTCTTCTTCTTCTTCTTCTTCTTCTTCTTCTCAGTAGCAGCAGTAGTAGTAGGCCTATTATTATTATTATTATTATTAGTATTATTACTATTAGTATTATTACTACCTTTATTATTAAGCCTATTATTTTTTTAAATTAGAGCCTATTATTGTTATCATTATTATTATTATTACTATTATCATTATTATTGTTATTACTATTATTATTATAATTATAATAATAATAATAATAATAATAATAATTATTATTATTAATTATTATCATTATAACTCTAGCATAAGAAGCAACATTACCTGCAGGTTGTGGAATTGGTCGTCAGTCATCCAGTCAAAAGGCTTCTTGCTCTGCATGATGTGAGGGTCGGGTGTGGCTGAGGGCAGCAGGGCAGACATGACCACTGAGCTGTAGTTTGGTGAGATCACAAACTCCCTCTCACCTGGGCCCACGTTGCCTTGAGAATCTTCCACCTAGGAAAGAGGACAAAGGCGTAACAGCAGGTGAGCAAAGACAGGTGAATTTTAGACAGGTGTGTTAGGACAGGTGAGTTGGGGCAGATGAGATAGGGCAGGAGAGCTTTGTTGAGGTGAGCTAGTCGGGAAGAAAAAGAGAGAGAGAGAAGGAAAAAGAGAAAGTGAACATGAGAGAAAAAGAGGAAGAGAGAAAGAGAGAGACAAACAGAGTTAGAAGGATAGAATGAGAGAGAGAAAGAGAGAAAGAGACAGACAGACAGACAGACAGACAGGCAGGCAGGCAGGCAGGCAGACACATACAGACAGAGAGGGAGAGAGAGAGAGAGAGAGAGAAAGACAGAGAGAGAGACAGAGAGACATAAAGAGAGATATATAAAGAAACATAATGAAAAGACCGACCTCAATGGCGAGCAGCAGAGCAAAGATGAACCTATCCCTCTCCAAGAGACCACGAGCCATTGTAGTAAAAGCACTGTACGTCAAACGGTCAATCACAGCCTTCACTGCCGACCTGCGTATTTAAAATTGACCCATTGTTAAGAGGAAAACGAATCATAATCATTGGATCAAAATAAAAAATCTTTTGCTGATGAACTGATAGAATCCATGACAACAATTTTCTTATCGATGAAAGAATTTCAAAACTATTCAATTTTTAAAAATCAAATTAAAATGAACATGCACAGACAAAATATATTCTTATTATGAATTATTACAACAAAATGAACTACTATATTATAAAAACTAACAATACGTCGAATCTATTTCAGTCTACACTTATGAATTTATCTTATAATACAAATACCCTGCTGAAAGTCCAAGAAGCTGAATCAATCACAACACAATGAAAGTTATTTCTCATGTGGTTGCTGAAACAACTCAGTTATATACAATCAATCCTATTCAAAACAAACACACACTGTTGACAAGATAAATTTTCAATGAACAGTGTCATTAAAATGAAGAAAAAAACATTGTGAGGGGGGAGGGGGGTGGGAAAAAGTTATTTGTACAAGTGTTTTTTACGGCTGTCTCAGATAGGCGGCGGCCAGAGCAGGTTCAATCGACTGTATCATCATTAGTATAAGGATACAGTAATTTCAATGACGATGAGAACATACAGCGCTGTGTTACCTGTGCCACCAACAAAAGAAACTACAAATAAACTCTTGTAGATTGTAAAGACACAGACGACCCTAACCTTTCTGAGTGAGCGATCGCAGCTTGATAGAGAGACATGAACTGCTTGAAGGAGGACTGGTAGAGTGGATGTATCTCTCTCATGTACTGGCTCGTGTCGAAACACACAGCAGCCCGCTGGGCTATGATGCGGAAACCCTCCCTCGCCTTCATGATCGAATCTTCACCAGTCTGAACACGACATTGACTGAGGAAACATAGGCATAAATATATTGGGGGGGAGAGGGCGGGGGGTAAAATTTGCAAAGATATTTTTTTCAAAAGTCAAAACAAAACAAAAATCAACAGTGAAACTCTAAATAGTCTTTTGATTAAAAGTGGAATATTAAAACAACCAGACTTCTTCATAAACACAACTGAAACAGATATTACACGAATTCTTACATTCCTAACAAAGAATGCATCTCCATCTGTAAAAGTAGCAGAATGCCCAAGGCAAAATGCACAAGTGCTGACCTTTTAAAGATGCATTGATATAAAAAGCGGCTCTTTTCAGATAAAAAAATTCTACTATTAACATACAGAGCTAACAAATTGTTTAGTGTGACAAAAAGACTAATAACATGAATAAATATTGTATCAAAAGAATAGACATTATGTCAAAGCAGTTATTTTGATAACTATATTTATTCTTTTCCATCATACTGAGTCAGTATTGACCTATTTCAAGTACATTTCAAAATGAAACTATTAGTGTTGTCTTTCAGCAAACTTCAAAGCAACAACATTTCAGACACACTATAAAAGAGAGCAATAGATTCTGAGCACAGCACAGATTCCCCCCAGGGTAGTGCGACTGACTCAGGTGTCTTTAGGCCATTCCCAAAGGGAGGATATTAACATGTTTTTATGTACAGTAGAATATAAATGGGCTGATTTATTAATGTCATGCTCATACTGTGTCTAAACAACATAGGGGGAACTGCTGCTTTTTCTATCCTCATCCTTATTATCGTCATTTTCCCTCTACTTCTTTTGTATGTTTGCCACTCTCTTGTGAACTGCTATTTCCGGGGTGCCTTGATAGTCGAAGCAGACTTAGTGCTGTTGAGGCTACAGAGGTAAGCAGAGTAAGCCTGATTCCCCGTTTGGACTTCTCTGTAGACATCCACCCCTTGGCGCTCATATGACCTTATGCGGTTGCAAGAGCCGTAAAGCTTTACTAAAATGAAACAACAGCACAGGACAGGTAGAGCCGCTTACCTTTCCAGGGTCTCATCATAATGCTTTTTGAGTTCAGCCAAGCGTTTTGTGGCTTGCAGATCATTCATTAAGCGCACATCACTGGACAACTGGTCTCTCATCTGTTGCTCCAGGCGCTCCAGAGTCTCAAGGTTCTCTTGTTTCTCCTGAGCATGAGATCAGATGAAATGAGAGGAAGTGAAATGTGTCAGAATGAGATGAAATGAGATGAGACTGGATGGGGTGAGATGTTGTGAAATGACAAAGGATGGGACGGGATGAAATGTGATGAGATAGGGTGAGAAGCAGTGAAATATTTCAGACTGAGACAAAATGAAATTATTATTATTATTATTATTACTATTATTATTATTATTATTATTATTATTATTATTACTTTTATCCTCAGCTTGCTCACCTCATTTCCATCAACATTTTCCCTATAAACATCTTCGCTGTTTTCTCAACTGATCATCATTATCATAATTATTATCATGATCATTATTATTATTATCATTATCAAAATCATTATTATTATTATTGTTATTATCATTATTACTATTATCATAAAACAAGATCTGAGGATCACCTGTCTGAGCGTGGTTTGTTCATTGTCCAGCCGCGACTTCTCCTGGGCCATGAAGACATCGAGGAGCTCCTCTTCAATGCAGGCGCGACACTGCTGGTAGAAGGTCACGGCCGTGTAGGCTGCCAACTGAGTGGGCACACAGTGAGGCTCGCTGGTCGTGTGCAGGAACATTCGGAACTTGGGGTCGCACTCCACCTCGTGATCTGTGACCTGTGGCGGGGGTCAACACATGTGTTGAGTTTCTTGTAATTTTTCAGAATTTTTGCTGTTTTTTAAACTCCTTTTTAAGGAAAATGGGGAACATACCGGAGCTGCAAGAGTGATAACAGATGGAAAGAAATGAAACAAGATCTTCCAGCCGTACACTAAAACAAGCCGCTCAGATTGAAAAGAAAAGATTTTTTTAAAATAGCAAATAGCGGGGGGGGGAAAACCCTGATGTTCATTGCAGAAGTGTTTAATGTAGTACTTCCGACTTAGTATTGGAGATAGCTAATCCTAGATATTACTTACACCATAGGTTAAATGCACTGGCAAAAACATATTGCTCAAAGCAAACTGCAAATGTTAGGGCCAATATCTATATCATACAGCCAACTTTTTTACATCAAAATATTATTAACTTACAATGACTTTGAATCTTGTCTTTCCGTTGATAAAGTTGACACAGTTGGCGATGGTGTCCGTGAACCTTCTGTCTTTCATGAGGGTCTCGAGGTCGCAGTCCGTAACCAGCAGCGGTGTCCCGTCGGAGAGGCAGTTCTCCAGTTGAGAACGAATTTCCTGTGACAAAAGAGAAAGTCTGTAAACAACTAACAACAAACATATGTCAGCAAAGTGGTCAAGTGCATTTGAGTATGTGCAAATGCCTGAATGCGCATGTCTGTTAATCTGTGTTTCCGAGTATTTGTGACAGAGTGAGAGTGAGAGAGAGAGAGAGAGAGAGAGAGAGAGAGAGAGAGAGAGAGAGAGAGAGAGAGAGACAGGGAGACACAGAGAGAGAGACAGAGATAGAGAAAAGAGGGAGAGACACAGAGAGAGAGAGGGAGAGACACAGAAAGAGAGAGAGCGAGTGAGAGGGAGAGAGAAAGAGAGAGAGATAGACGCAGAGAGAGAGAGAGAGAGAGAGAGAGAGAGAGAGAGAGAGAGAGAGAGAGA